GCCGGTCCCGGCTGTGCTGGCACTCCGTGTCACTGCTCCCGCCTGGGGCCGGCGCTGTGAGACGCGGTGGAGCTGTGTGCTCCTGAGGGCTCTGTCACACCCAGCCCGGCCTGTGCGCGGTGGTGACGCTCAGCCGTGTGCTGGGCATGGGCTGCGGCTGCTGCTTTCCAGGAGCCTAGTGGTAAACCAGAGTGTAAGGGGCCTGTAAGTCATGCAAAGAGAGGGGAAGTGACTGTTTTAGGAGTGTGCCTCGCTTCTAAAGCTGCGTTTGTATTGTTGCACTTGGGTGTTTTCTAATCCTCTGGTAGTCTCCTGAGTGGCAGGGGGGCGACTGTTTTAGGAGTGTGCCTCGCTTCTAAAGCTGCGTTTGTATTGTTGCACTTGGGTGTTTTCTAATCCTCTGGTAGTCTCCTGAGTGTCAGGAGGGCTGCTGGTAAGCTTTGTTTAAGCTTGATGTTTGTGTTAACAGGCTGAGTCGTGTTTGTTCAGGTCTCTTTAACATTCTGGCTCTGGCACTAGTTGCCCAGGGAGGTAGTAGATGCCCCAACCCTGGCAGTGTTCAAAGCCAGGTTGGATGAAGCTTTGAGCAACCTGGTCTAGTGGAGAGGTGTCTCTGCCCGTGGCAGGAGGGAGTTGGGACTAGATGATCTGTAAGGTCCATTCCAGCCCCTAAAATTTTGTGATTCCCGCACTGAGCAGTGCTATATGGACTGGCTTGAGGGAGGCAGTGGAGAGCCCTTAGTTCAGGTCTGAGGGTTGTGGCTACTTTGGGGATAGCAAAAGCCTGAATGTTCTGCACAAATGGCTGAAATGAGGCAGAATCAATCCAGTGAATCTCCCTGGTCACCTCTGTCCTGAAGCTTTTCGGGTGAGCATATGCACAACAGGCCAAGATAACCAGAGTAGAAAGGCCCAGGAAAAGAACTTGGGGCTTGTCATACATGTGTCATCAGCCAGTAACATAAAGGTGAGTGTCCTACTGTGTCATACCAGTGGGGGTTCAGGTTGTGGTAGTTTTCTGGTGAGTTTCGCTGGTTTGACTTTTATTAGAGAAATAGACAGTGACAGGACAAGGAGTAACAGGTTCAAGTTGAAGGAGGGGAGATTTAGGTTTGATATTAGTAAAAAGTTTTTTCCTGTGAGTGTGGTGAGACACTGGCACAGGTTGCCCAGGGAGGTAGTGGCTGCCCCAACCCTGGCAGAGTTCAAAGCCAGGTTGGATGAAGCCTTGAGCAGCCTGGTCTGGTGCGAGGTGTCCCTGCCCATGGCAGGGGGTTGAGACTACATGATGTGTAAGGTCCATTCCAACCCCTAGAATTCTGTGATTCTGTGGCATTTCTGGGCACTCTAACCTAGATATATCCACCAAAGGGAGTCCAGAGGAGAGTGTGCTACCTGTCCAAGCTTCCCTTTGGTGAGCCTAGCAGGGAGAGTTGAAATGATGTTTTGGTGGTGGTTGTTTGAGGTGTGACAGACTAGGAGCATTGAGATGTTAAGGTTTGCCTTGCAAAAAGAGGTGGTAAAATGGATGTGCCTCTCAGGGACCTGCTGGTCACAGAATGAAAAGGGACTGATCTTAGCTGCCACAGAAAATTCTTTGCAGAGTATTTGAGAGACATTAGTAGCTTTAGTTCTGTTTGTTGGTTTGTGGTTTTTTTAGAAGTCATGATGGAACACACTAGTTTTGAAAGGATTGTAGAATTACTCTTTTTTTGGTATGTTACAGGTGAAAACCTCTCAGTGCAATGACACTACTAAAATTCTTTCCACTTCCAGTGATGAGAAAGGTACTGAGTGGAAGTTAAGGAGGAAGAAAACAAAATCCCTTAAAGCTAGAGGAAGAGAAGGCTGTGTTTCAGGTGTCAGAATGCATGAAAACCTAAATATTGATTTCATAATTTAAACTTCAGTATTATTTTCTGAGCTGTTATGATTGTAAAGAAAACTTTTCAGATGAGTCTTAATATGACATGATGCATGGGTAGGTTTGAAAGGCCTCATCTAGGCAGAGTCATACTTGTCTAATTGAAGTAATGATGCTAAATGAATGCAGTTTTCTATATGGACACTTAGCAGATTAGCTTGCACTTACAAATTGCATGTGCAGTTGATATGATCTTGTTTAAACTGATAAAAATGCATCTCCATAACGTTTTGATGCTTTAAACTAATGTGACTTTCTTTCATATGGTGCTCTAGACAGACAGCCGTATTGACAGTGCTGAGCTGCACAGAACTTCCTTGAAGAAACTCACTGGGAAGACTGGTCCATTTTGTAGCTAAATAGTGAAAATGGAATGAACTGGAGACTGACAAGGAATGATTAAAGGCATGGATAACATGTATGCAAGAAACTACTAAGCATTCCAGTTCCTTTTAAGCTTGAAAATATGACTGCAAGGGGACCCAGTATAGGTCTATATCCTCTGCATGCTATTTGTAACTTTAAGAGAGAATGAACATTCACTGTCTGTACAGAATTAGGGATATCAAATGAAACTAGCAGCTGACAAGCACAGAACAAACAGAGGGGTTTGGTTCTTCCCATAACCTGTGGTGTGCTGTGAAACTCCTTGCCCTTAAAAATACACTTGTGGCTCAGCAACTGAAAATAAAATATGGAAGCAAGAAATTGGGGTTATTAAATGCAGAGAACACCCTGGATTTGGGCAGCACTGAAGCTGCAATGTCAGGTGTGTGTTCAGATAAAGTGTTGTTAGGTGTGTTCCTGCTTCTGACAGGGCAGTGGCTGATAGGTCTGTGCAAGAGGATAAAGAATAGGGAAAATGCCAACACAGTTTTTACTCAGCAGAGCTGTTCTTAGAGAATTTTTCATGAAAGCTGTGGGTCACGTGCCCTGTGGTCACCTCTGTGTTCTGTCCTGCAAAGCCACTGGTCTTAGCTGAGACAGGATGTGCTAACGGGATAGTCTCTGCAAGGCTGAAGGAGAAGATACAGGTAGGATCCAGCCCTTTCTCCTTTAGTTCTGCAGGATTGATCTTAAACTTTGCTGGTGGATCATCTTCTGCTCTGTAGTAGCTTATTTGGTAAATATTTTCAAGTGTGCTCAGAGCACAGCATCTGTGCCACCATGCAAAATGATTCCAGGAGTGTGGTGAAAATGGAATTGTGTCCACGAACTGCAGGTTAACTCTTAAATTTAAGCAAAACTTGTCTCTGCTGGATTGATTTTAATAATCCAGCCAAATTTGTGGATCCAGGAACCATTAATTCTTCTGTGAAAGGAGCAGCTCAAGTGTGCTGGCAGGTGACAAGGCATGTAAAGACTGCTCAGGGAAGGGATTTTTTTTCTTTGCCCCCACCTCTTCAGTTGGCTTTGATCTGTTTTATGAGGGTCAGAAGATGAAAACCTCATTACCTAATGCTGTTGGATGTCGACGTATGTGTGATATGGCTCCTTGCCAGTATCTTAATTAGGGAATTCATAAAAGCAGAGGGTGTATGCCAGTTCTTGAAATGTGCTTTTAGCCTTTCTACTGGAAGAAAAGCTTTTATTAATTCATTATGAAATGTATTAAACGGGAACCAACTCAACTCTGTAAGCAAAGCTGCTGCTTTTTCTCTCTTCCCTTTGTCTCTGCCTTTATGTGAGCCATTTCGGGCTCCCTGCCCAAGATGGTCCCAACAAATGAGATTTGCAATAAGCATCTTAGTCTGTTTGGATTAAAATCCTTTCTAGGTCTCTCTGGTGTAAAAAGGTTTCCAGATTGTGAGCAAGTGTTGCCAGTATTCAACAAAAATAGCTCAATGCCTTCTCATACCTGTGAAGCAACGGAGGCATCTGGTCTTAGACCCCTGTGTGCATCCAAGGCTGCTGGGACTTGACTTTCTGGAGTGTCTCTTGAGGAGCTTTGGAAGGGGCAGCTGCCTGGATGTGAAGCACCTGTTTCACTTGCCCCTTTTAACTGACACTACTTAAAGATGTTGCTGTTAGTGAAGTCCTGTGTCCCTGCTGCTATCCATGTGAACCTGAGGACTTGTCATGTGAGATTCGTGCCTGCTGCATTTCAGCTCTGTTGCAGAGGATACTCTTCATGCAAAGGAGAGCTACAAGGTTTGTCTTTCCAGCTTCTGAGGCACTGTGCTGAGAGTGCCACTGAAAAGATATGGTAGTGTGAGCTGCAAGGATCAGGGATGGTTCAGCTAAGTGAGCTTGGCTCTGTTTTCCTGCAGGCTTCCGGTATGCCTAGGCACATACCCCATCTAGCCTTCTCATGTATTAGTTAGTAGGAGGGAAGGCTTTCCATCTTCTGCAAGCTCAGGTAAACACCTGCTTCTAGGATTGCTCTCCTGAAGAGCTGCAGCAGGGAATTATGCCAAAGCTCTACAGATTTTCTTGTGCTACAGTTTTAGAGGCTACAGGCCCCCTGGGAGTTTCCTCAGCAGCCCAGAGCGTAATCAGTAATTCCCAGGCATTACTCTGATTTTTCCCTGTGCTTATTTTCTATTTCTGTCTTTCCTTTTCCCTGCAGTGAAGAGTTACTGGATGGCTGAGCTGCAGAGAGACTCTTGGCTTGGTGGAACAGATCCCAAATCCCAAGCAAGGCAATGGCATTGACATACCAAGCTCTGGTCATACTCTAGGGTCGGTGTCTGAGGCTTCTTGCAGAAGCATGCTATCTGTCTGAGGCAGATAGTATTGTCCTAATTTATAAGTGGGGAAACTGAGGCACAGTGAGTGGATAACATCTGTGAATCCTCACTCTTGTCTTTCTTATAACCCCTAATTCCCCCTAGCCGGACGAAAAGAAATAGTGAGAATTCTGGAGGAAAAGTATTTTGTTCATTCAGCAGTCTGTTCCCCCTTCCTTGCTTTTTTTTTTCCCTGATTATTTTCTGTCCCTCGTGCCCCCAGCTCAGCAAAGCTGATGGTGCAGTTCTAGGGCATGTGGTTTATTAGCAAATTATTGCTCTCCAGCAGGGGACCCAAACTTTGGTTTTGATTTAAGAGCAGTAAAACCAGTTGAAACTTTTAAAGTAGTATGTGGAATCTGGAGATTTTTAGTCAGCAGAAAGTAAAAGCATTGACAGAGTTGGGTGGAATATCCTCTTGTTAAGTCTTGTGAAATGAGGGAAGTATGGGCAGAGGATGCACTAGTGAGAGCAACTGCAAACTGAGCAGGAGGAGCAGTTGTGGAGGAGAGGATAGGAATGCAGTGACATGGGTAACTTTAGTGGTGGGGTTGGCAGCTGACTGACCAAAGCACTCATTAAACTGCATAATTTAACATTATTTTAAAATGTATTTCCTGAGAAGGCATGGCACATTGTAGTAAGTTTACTGGCTAGGGATGAGCCATGTAACACATGGCTGAAGCATCTCTTGGTCTGTGTGTATGTGAGGGTTTCCAGCAGCTAAGGAAGCAGAGGCAATCATTTGCAAATGGTAGGAACTGATGAGGGAGATGGTGGTCCTTAAACTGAGCTGGATGGACACCTCATCTCCACTCCATTGCACTCTGCCGTTAAATTGACTTGCTGGTAAGTGTGGTCAGAGCTGACCAGGGGGAAGCCCTTGGCCCTGAAGCAGACTGGGGCAGTGCAGTCATACTGACTGAGCTGTAGTGCATGGCATTGTGATGAGCAGCTGGAGTTAACATTCTTAATTGGCACAGTTGGATATGGAGGACAATTATCTTTGCCCTGATGGAGTGCATTTTCAGCTAACATGATTCAAAAATATCTGTGTCCCCATCCAGGCAAACCTAAGCATGGCCAAACATAGAAGTGCCATTCCCTGTACTCTGGGATCAGGTGATGTGCCTTGGTGCTCCCCTTTTGGACTCAGGGGAAGCTGTGCCTGTGGGGAACTTGGCATCTCAGCAGCCTTGGCAGAATTGCCTAATAATCTGTGACTTTTAAATTGTTGTCTGATAAATCAGAGATTTACTTGAGCTTTGTTATATGTGTCCCCTCCCCAGCTCAGCTGTGCTCCTGGCAGTGAGACCACTGAACTGACTGGCTAAACTCCTTTTCACGGTCTGCTTTGTTCTTTCCTTTAGATCAGGCCTCTTTCTCCCATCCCGCTTGTTTATAATGCTTGCCCTGGCTAGGTGTGAGATTGCTAATGAGCTTAGGACGGAGCTGATCCCCAAAGAAGCAATAATTAGGGATGGCTTTGATTTTGTTTCCCTTATCACTGTTCAGGGGAGTGTTTGTGCTCTGGGCCACTTCTGAGGCTGATGTCCAGACAGCTCATTCCACCTCAGTACTTTACCCGAGACTGTGCTGCCTCTTAGTGTCTGATGTATGAAGGCTCCCACCACAGAGATCCCGTGCTGCCAGCCATCTATCCAACCTTGGCCTTGCCTGAGAACCAGGCACAGCAGGAGTGCTGCACTAAGCTGAAAAGAGAGGTCACTGCCACCTCAGGGCAGCCGAGCTTGTTTTCTTTCAGGATAGGTTGTTGTATTCATATTATCTGATTAGTCCTGCTACCTCCCTGCTGGAAGCAAGCTTGAAAGACAGAGTTTTCCTAAAGGTGTCTATGCTCTGGTTGCCAACCAGAAGAGAGAACTGATTCCCAGAACTGTTGTCCGTGGCAGAATTCCCTCCTGGGCAATCTCTTTGCACACAAGTAGATCAGACCTCCTGTGCTTAGCCACACTTGCTCCCCTCCACAGGAGGACACAGAGGGGGTGAGGGTGGTTGTTAAGAAACTTCATGAGGAGGCACAAGGACCAGTGTTTTCTGCATGGAAACATGCTGCTGCCAAAACTTGGTGCAGGTTGAAGATGTGGAGGTGGTGGTGAATGCTCTCTTGAGCTGTTGCTGTTGAACACTTAATTAGGCAAAAGAGACAGTAGGTATCAATGTTTCTTTTTACTTTATCCACTCTTCATCCAGTCAGACCGCTGAGGGTGCTTTGTAGTCACATCCCATGAACTTTGCATCCATTTACAGAGCTAAATCAAGACCTTGGCCCTCAGGCTTCAGCCTAGGCCAGTCTCTCTCTTTTTATTCTCTTAATTGCTTAAAGGTGCCTTGGGTTACATCTTTGCTTGTGGACTCACATGCAAAGAAACTAGAACAGGCTGGAACAGGGTCAGATTTTGGCAAAAAGGTGCTGGCACACAGTGCTGACACAATTGACAGTGTCAGGACTGGCTTGGCTGTGTTTGGGATTACAATGTCACAGTTGCCAGGGGTATAATACAGGCTCACCTGAGAGGTGATGGGCTCTTTGTGATCTCTGCACGGAGCTGGAATTCCTCCCTTGATTTGAGGAGGAGGAGGAGGGTGGAGTGGCTGTGCTGCCACCTTTCTCGTCTGAGTGGGAATGGATCCATGTTAGTTGGGAGAGGAAATGACTGACTGGTGTGGTGTTTTTCAGATCGACGGACTGGAAGAGAAGCTGGCACGCTGCAGACAGAGCATGGAAGAGGTGGATCTTAAGCTGCGCAGGGAGAAGCTCAGCCCTGAAGGAAGGTATTGATGATCACCTCCTTTCACAGCTATAGCTGTACACTTCAGCTAGCTGTCATCCTGCTGTAGTACTGAGCAAGGGCTCTTGCAGGGGTGGGAACCTGTGATTCCCTATGACAAGGCTCTCTTCCCCCTACTTGGAACTTGTCTGGGGAACTTGCCAGTGTGAGAAGTTCAGTGATATATCGAGAGAGCTTTCTCCTTATTGAGAGCCTGACTCCTGCCTGCACCACAGCCAGACAAGCAGTGCCCAAAACTTTCCAGATGATTTGCAGAGCTGGCTCCTGACCTGCAAGGAAACAGCTCCAGGAGTCTGGCAAAGGTTTGCTGCACAAGCCTTGCCAAAGGTGCCCGAGTTCAGTCAGGGAAGATGGGCAGAAACTGCTGCTCAGGGCCAAACCAGGCTGAGATGGAACTGCAAAAGGGGCTGAAGGGAATCATCTGTGCCTGTGTTGCACATGTATCTGGATGCAGGGATGCGTCAACACAATGGCTTTTCTTGGGAAAGCTAAGAGGGACACTACCCCTGAAAACTGTCACTGCTGTAGAGGCAACTGTTGGCTTCTAGAGCTGGGACTTAAGCAATGCCTTTGGCCTGGATTTTGTAGCAGACACAGGCAGAACCTGCTGTTTCTCTTAAGTGTGAAGCAAGAGATCCTAAATCTCCTAGCTGATTCTCACATCTCTCTTCTTGAGCACATTCTTTCAGTCACCAGCATCCTCCTGCTTTGCTCCTAACAAAAAAGCATGGGAGGCTCAATCATAGGCCCAGAGAGTGGTCCTGTTGATCCTCATATTGGCTCTACAGTACTGAACCCTGTTAGAAATGATCCTAGCAGTGATGATGTCTCCATGTCCTGATACTTATCAACCTCAGTAACTTCTTTGTTAAACTCCTTTGCACTCCCTCCCCTTCCTTCACTGGGGTTTTATATCCCCATCCATATTTACACAGGGTCCTGTCTCTTCCTGTCCCTCATCTCTTCAGGTCCTCATCTCAACAGTCCTTTTCTAGGCCTAAATTCTTCTTGCTTGTTGTCTGTATTCTTTATCTAGTACTTAGGTGGCCAACAACCAAACCTACAGTTGTGATAACTAGACAGGATGGAATATATGATGGTTTCTCTCTGAAATATGGGGCCTAAAGCAAAGAATTAGGAATAGGGCATCCTGGGGCCTTTTCTGAATTTTACAGCTTGTATCGAGATAGAAACAGAAATTCCCTTGCCCTATTCCAGACCATTTGAAAAACCCTGGAGGAAGGTACCACGATCAAAATCATCGATTCAGTGTGTAGTACACAAAGGAGAGCTCTGCTTTCCCACTTTGAAGTTCAGTTGTCATGGTTTCATGTCTCATTCTCAAAGCTGCTTCCTTTGACTTGCTTCACAAGGCAAGTTTCTAAGTAGCACCCATGTCATGTCGGTAAATGTCTTCTCACTTCCTCCTGGCTGTTCTCCACATTGCCTTTCCCTAGTTGTCTTTAAGAGCCCTTTCCTCTCCTGCTGCTCTGATGTAGCTTGCTTTCTTGCCATCCCCTTGCTTAACCAGCTGTACACATAGATTTGGATCTCTTTCTTCTACAGGTTCCTGCTCTGCCCCAAGGGGAACAACAACTGCCTTCTCTGAACCAGGAGATAATTTCTTAGTGCATGTTTATTTATGTGCACAGTCTGAAAGGAGAGACCACATCCTCACTGCCATAATGGAAATGCTGCTGCTTTCAGGAATTTTGTTTTGCATTTATATTTTAAACTGTATATTAATTAATCATCTTGTGCAGTTTAAGACAAGGGCTGAGTTGGCCTGACTTAGTCTGTACTGTTGTTATCATGAGTCTTCAGTCATTGTTTAACTGGTTGCTACTGGGCTTGAATTCAGCTTGTTTCCTTAAGTTCACCAACTGGTATAAATTGGATGCCTCTGGCAGAGGGATCCTAGCTTCAGTTGGTGAGAATTGCTGTTCCAGCACTAAGCCAGATGTGCTGAGGGGCAGGATCCAGAGAGCATGTAGGGACCCTGCTCCATCCCATAGCTGTGTCAGAACTTCCTACCCCACCTAAGGGAACTGATTAGAGGACTCTTGACAGGCAGTTCCCTTTCCAGTTGTTTGCCTACGCTGACACTGTCCTGAAAGGAGAGATAAGGGGTTTGGGGGAAGGAAAAAAATCTAAAATGCTGCATCTCTTCTCTTGCACAACTGGGTGTTTCTAAACTGACACCTCTCCACAGTGAAGGGTGAGGGGCTTATTCTGTGAGCAAATGTCTCCAGCAGTAGGACAGTCAGTCTTCCATCATGTAAGCACAGAATTAGGCTGTGTTGTGCCTTGCAGGTAATGAACTCCTCTTCTCATTACAGAAAGTCACTGGAGAGAGAGAGAGACTTACTAATGACCAAAGCTGACAACTATGGTAAGAGCTTCATTAAAAATGGTCCCCCAGGCTGGATGGGATCAGCTCTGCAGCTTAGCTTCATCTTCAAGCTCCTGCCACCTCTGACTTCTGCCTTTGAATTCAGGTTCAACCAAAGGGAGCTAGACTCAGGGAAACATAGCATAGTGTCTGCATCCTCCTGCTTGAGCTATGCTACCATAGGGAATAAAATAAGCATCAGCTAATGAAGGGGGAAAGCATCCCCTTCACATACCCTAAATTACCAGTCTTTAGATAATCATAGCTAACAGATTGGATTGAGTAGCTTTTACCATCTCTCGTCCCCTTTTTATTTTTTTATTATTTTTTAATAGAGGCTTGCTAAGCAAGCTGTAGTGAAGTATACTTTCCTTGGGGAAGGTTCTCACTGCATCAGTTTCTAGGGCCAGTTGGCACATGAGCACACAGATTCACACTGCTGTACTACCTGCAATTCTAGAGAGCCAGGGTGTTTCCTTGCTGCACATCCTGCTGTAGATGGTTAAAATGAGAGTCCCTCTGAGCTACCACACACTTGACAGCACTTCCATTCCATCAGGAACTCTGCTTTGCATGTCTTCAGGCTCCTGGTGTTGATCAGTGTGTTCCATGCTTGACAGTACTCTGCAGCAGTGGAAGGACCAGAGCTCACACAAAGGAAAAAGGCACAAGTGCTCTTTTAGGCCTGGAGCACTGAAAGCTGGGGTATGGCCAGAAAATCTGTAATTATAACTCAGGTTAAAGGACTGTTTCCAGAAGACTAACAGTTACTTTAAATAGATCCAAAGCTGTTCCCTAAGGGTGTACCGCTTGAGACAGCAGAAGACTCTGCACATTGCTGCCACCCTTTTACCAGCAGTCAGTCATCACTGCTAGCAGCAGCAGAGCAGTCTGACAGGCAGCTCAACAGCAGCAACAGCCTCACCTAATGGTGATGGCTGCTCCTCCTGGAACAGAACAGACAGTGCATGTGCACACAGTCTTTTTAGACCACGGCTCTGGGCCTGATTAAATCTTTACTTATTCTAGCTGACACACTTGAGGCCATGAAGTGCAGTTGCTGACAATGGCATTGCTCAGTCAGTTTAAGCTGGCACTGCTGTGCACAGGGTTATGTGACCTCTTGCCTGTTGCCTCCTCTGTGGCCTTGCAGAGTCAAGCAGGTTGCATGAGAATGCTTGTATTATGTGAAGGATGGGGGCAGCTAAAAGTCTCTTTTCATACCAACACCAGTTTGGGAACTGCTGGAGGCTGCTTGTGCACAATACAGAGGCAGGAACCTGTGCAGTCACTGCAGCTGAATTGAGCAGTAAAAGCAGTCTGGCCCTGGAGCCAGTTGGCACCCAGCTTTGCCCTGCCAAACAATTACTGCTGTTTGGCCCTGCACTGTGTAATGCTGTAGGTCTCACTGCTTGCCTGCACCACCCACCAATGTACTGTGGAACAAAACTAGCAAGGGCGGGTTCCTGTCTTTGGTACAGGGAATGGAACAGAACTGGCCATCAGCAGGACTTCATACTTGCAGTGCACACTTCCTGCATCTGTGCTGCTGCTTCTGTAAACCAAGGCAAGGGAAAGTGATCTGTCTCTAAAAAGCTTCAGACCCCAACAGAATGAGTGTCCAGAGTCAGACCTGTTCTGCACTCATGCTTCTAAGGCACAAGGAAACCCAGACATTCAAAGGTGCACACAGTTGTATTAAGTAAATTTAAGTGCTAGGAAAAGCTACCAGGCTGTTACATCTAGAAGACAGCAGAAATAGCTCTCTGCCCTCTGTCACTTTCATTCTCTTAGGGAACAAGCAATTATTCTAATGACACAGTCTGTCCTTAGTAGAGGCCTACAGCAATGTCATTTGCAAAGAGGAACTGGTCTAGCACTGAAGTATTCCCAAGCACAGCGACAGAGTGTCAGAATGAGAGTTAGCAAATGAAAGGCTTCCTGCTAGTTTACTTCCTGTTCAGCACATCTTATAATTGGCAGCTTTGCATACTCTGCTCCCAAAATTGTTGCCTGTGGCCAAGGTAGCTTTGTGCTTTTAAGACAGTTTTGAACAGAGTTGTAGCTGCAACATGAAGAACCTTCACAGGCAAAGCTTTTGTTTGTTTCCCAGAGAAAGAACTGAGTGTGCTTCGTAAGGAGAATCGCAAGAATGCTGCCCTTGCTGTGGCCATGGGGTTGCTGATTGCTCTTATTTATGTCTGCTGGACAATGTGATTGCACTCAAGAATTCTCCCTGCTGACCAAATGACTCTCCTGCAAGGAGCTCTTCCTCCTCATACCACTGTGCCTCGCCCAAGGGTGAGGATCAGCATTTCAAATTGCCGTTCTTGTTTATCATCTCTAAGCCTTGTTGTAGGGAAGATTTTTCTCTGCAAGCTGAGGGGACAGGAGACAAAACAGAAATCACAGCACACTTACACTTGGAAATCAGGTCAAGCAGAGCTCAAGGTGGTGCCGTCTTACCCAAAACACAGTCAAGACCATCCAGCCTGATACAGGAGTGCAATACATTCTCCCTTTTGAAGAGGACCTGTGGTTGCAGACAGTACTCTCTGCTTAGCCCAGGTGGAGTACGTGCCAACTTGTTTCCTGTGACTCAAGCCAAAAGCTGAAGGGACACTGAGCTCTTTGAATCAAAGGGTAATCTTTAAGTATTGCAACCTAATAATTTATGTGTTCCCAGAGCTGACCTAAAGATGTTTCCTACTCCACCCCAACTTACAGGACCAAAGGAATCCTACCTCCACAAAAACAGATGGGACATAGGCATCTCTTTTTCTGCAAGCAGGTAGCATCCAACTTGAGATGTGGGTGCTTGGGCTTTGAGAAGATCTGCCTACCTCTCTGGTGCATCACAGTTGGGTAGCCATTTTTCTGTGCCTTTGAGAATCAGCACTTGCAGAAGAGAACTTACTGTCAACTCAAGGGATAGAAGTGCTTCTGCAGGGCTTGAAATAAAATGATTTGACCTTGTAATTTACTGTTGGTTTTTTGTTTTCTTTTCCTGTTTTGTCATGCTTATCAGCCACTGCTTTATTCCCATCCTACCATCCCTCTGCTGGCACACATTGCATGATAGTAAAATCATCAAGGCTGGAAGAGACCTCTAAGATAAAGTCCAGCAATTAACCTGCCACTCTGCTGTAACCCCTAAACAATATCCATCCAGATGCCTCTTAAGCACATCCAGGGATGGTGACTCTACCACCTCCCTGGGCAATCTATTCCAGTGCTTGACCACCCTAACAGCGAAGAACTTTTTCCTAATACATAATCTGAATCTTCCCTGTCTCATTTTAGGACCATTCCCTCTCGTCCTCTCACTGCAGGCATGGCTGAAGAGACCATCACCCACCTATCTACAATCCCCTTTCAGATAGTTGTAGAGAGCAACGAGGTCACCCCTGAGCCACCTCTTCTCAAGGCTAAACAAATCCAATTCCCTCAGCTGTTCCTTGTAGGACATGTGTTCTAGACCTTTTCTGAGCCTCACTGCCCTTTGCTGGACTCACTTCAGCACTTCAGTGTCTTTTACAAAGTGAGGAGCCCAAAACTAAATGCAGTACTCGAGGTGTGGCCTCACCAGTGCTGGGTACAGGGGGATGATAACTGCCCTAGTCCTGTTGGCCACACTATACTTGATGCAGGCCGAGATGCCATTGGCCTTACTGGCCACCTGTGCACACTGTTGGCTCATATTGAGGAGTCTGTCCACCAGCACTCCCATGTCCCCTTCTGATGCACTCGAGCCACTTCTCTCCCAGACTGTACCACTGCATGGGGTGGTTGTGCCCAAGTGGAGGACCCAACACTTCACTTTACTGAACCTCATGCAGTTGTCCTCAGCCCACTGGTCAAGTTGGTCCAGGTCTCTGTGTAGAGTTTTCCTACCCTCAGGCAGATCAACACTCCCCACCCAACTTAGCGTCATCTGCAAATTTACTGAGAGTGCACTCAATCCCTATGTCCAGATCAACAGTAAAGATGTTAAATAGGACTGGCCCAAATACTGAGCCCTGGAGAACACCAGTAGTTATCAGCTGCCAATTGGACTTAGTTCTATTCACCACAACTCTCCGGGCCTGGCCATCCAGCCAGTTTACTCATCGAACAGTCCACCCACCCAAGCCACGAGCAGCCAGTTTTTCTACAAGTATACTGTGGGAGACAGTGTCAAGTGCCTTACTGAAATCCAGACAGACCATGTCCACAGCCTTACCTTCATCCACTGAGCAGGTCACATTGTCGTAGAAGGAGATCAGCTTGGTCAAGCAGAACCTTCCATTCCATTTCATAAATCCATGTTGTTTGGACTTGATCCCCTGCTTGCCCTGCATGTGCCATGCGATGGCACTTGGAATGATCTCCTCCATGACCTTGCCCACAAGTAAGGTTAGGCTTACAGGCCTGTAGTTCCCTGGATCCTCCTTCAGACCCTTCTTATAGAATAGGTGTCATGTGTGCTAATTTCCAGTCAGCCAAAACTTCCCCAGTTATCCAGGACTGCTGGTAGATGATTGTAAGTGGTTTAGCAAGTTCTTTTGACAGTTCCCTCATTACCCTGGGGTGGATCTCATCAGGGCCCATGAACTCATGAGCATCCAACTGGCATAGAAAGTCATTAGCCATCTCTTCCTGGATTATGGGGGTTTCACTCTTCTCCCATCATCACCTTCCAGCTCTAAGAGCTGGGTATCCTAGTAAGCCTAGACTGGTAAGCCACGTAACATCCCTATTCAGTGACATCTTAACTGTGGTGTATTGGTCTGGTGTGGCCTGGAATCCACTTCCTTTGAGTGGAAAAGCAGTCTAGCATGCTGCAGAGGAGTGTTGGAGACTGTGGTCCCTGTGGTCCCCTCATATTCCAACGCAGGGACATGCACTAGATAGCCCTCAATATCTAACTTGCCAGGAAAGTCTTTAAAAGGGACTGCCTTGAAAATTTAACTGGGCAAGGCACTTCTCTATCACCACACTGAGGGCCAGAACTTCGTGGGATGCAAGGTAAGCAAACACGGTTGTGAATTAAAGGGGCTGTATTGGTAATAGAGACAATGAAAGCAGAGAAGTCAACAAAAAATGATACAAAGCCTAATAACATTACATTGTGCAATTAACATACTATAGACATTCCCTTCAGCAAGACCTTTCTCACCCCACCCTTCCCAACAACCCCTCAGCAGGGAAGCAAGCAGCAAGGGGGCTCACACTTGCCTTCCTGAAGGGAGATTCAGAATCAAGGTTCAGTGCATCAAAAATAAAATTAAAAATAAAAGCAAATCAAAATGAAAAGCTGGAGACAACTGAGTAAACTGAAAGTATCTGTTCCTAAAAGCTAGCCTACAGGCTAACCAGGTTTTATTATACCCTCAGCGGCCTACACTCAGTGTAGTGCACTAGTGTACTTCCTAGTAATCCTTCTGTCTGCCAGCCCACAGGAGTCAAAGCCCTGAGCAGCAGACACAACACTCAGCAAAGGAGCCTGGCAGAGGGATCAGCATGCTTTGCTGACACTCAAACAGCCTCGGGGCACTCCCCAGAAGAGCCAGAATTCAAATTACTCCTTGGGTTAAAAAGCTAACCGTACACTGCCCTGCACATCACAGTTGGAGGTTCTTTATTGCCCACTGGAAGAGATTCCTCCTCATCCCTCCTGGAAGTGCCTTTGCCAAGACAAAGGTACCAGTGACATACCTCTTGTTCTCTAGGGGGAAAGGCCACCTTTTCTTTCACACGTTTCACTAATGTTTGAGAGCAGAGGGGGTCTACAGATCAGCAAGAGGATGCATTAACAGCCTGTTTCAGTAGACCTGTGTCTAAGTGAAAATTTCCATGTTTTGCCATATAAGCTTGTTTAAATCATGCATATGGATGCAGAGAAAAAGAAATAACAATCTAAGCAACTGCTATAGATTCTAGGAGAACTACAGCTTTCCTTAAGGCACAGTTCAGACAACCCCTAAATCAGTTTCCTCCCTACTGCCAGTCTGTGTTTAAAAACAAGCCAATTTAAAAAAAAAAAAAAAAAAAAAAACAAAAAACCAACAAAACCCCCACACAAAACAAAACACCACAAAAAAAAAGGGCAGTTTTGCTGCTTGGCCAAAAGCATTCAACTCTGTGTTAACATCCGATTTATGTGGAAGACCTGGCAAAGTGCCATGGAAGCCAGAATCGAAGGTAAAACCTGCAACAGAACTGAACTTTGAGCCTGGCACAGAAGTGCATGGAAAAGTCTTGACACATAAATACCATGCTGAGTTTCACAGCTCTGTGCCTTTACCCCAGATGCGGTCCCAGAGCCAAATGAGATACAGAAGGTTTCAAAGCCACTCTGACGTTTAAAAAAGGAAAGTCAGGTAAACTTTTCAGTGGGCACAGTCAGGGAACAGGGTTTCTTCTGATGAACCAACATGATCAAAGTCAACACCTCTTTTCACGGCAGCCCTGTGTCTTTTTAACTATGTCAGACATAGCCATAATTTCTTCCAAAGACTCCTGCATCCCAGCCTTCCTATGTCTTCTCTCCCACATCCACTTTCCTCCTTGAAGAGTTGGTAGTGGCACAGAGTACCAAGAATCAAAGCACCTTGATCTCAGACGTACCATGAGGCACGTACATTATCCATGGTACATACTTACAAATTAACCCCAGGGTGCTGGCTTGGGATCAGTCACTAACCTGGAGAAGGGAAATCCTGGTCACAGCAGGTTCTAGAGGTCTGAGAAAACCCTGGCACTGAGCACATCAAATCTGTGCCAGGAAACTCTACTGATCACCTGCATCAGCCTTTGTCCAGCAGGATACCATCACATAGATTCCTATGAGCCAGTAGCCAGTTGAGTGCCTTGAGAGACAGAGGTGTTGACAACACCATGAATACCTAACTTGTGTCCCACAGCTAGCATTCCCCAAAGACATAACACCCTCCACTGGTAAGTGCAGGCTGAGAAAACAGATAGCTGCCAGGAACAATGCAGGGCTGCTTCAATGTGCTGTTGCCCAGCTCTGCCATCAAAACATCTCTGCTCCTTCCCGCACTCCCAGAGAAGCACAAGTCTGGAGAGTTCTGGCACACAAGGAGCTCCACAAACCTTGCTGAACATCTGAACAGGAGCAAAGAAAGCTGCCAGCCCCTTAGCCTCATGCATGCAGTAGGTCAGGATAAAAGGGCGTTAGGCCTTGGCTCCAGAAGTCACCATGGGTACTCCAGCAGCAGGTGCTTCCTGGGCTGTACTCTTATATACACTGCCAGGGTAGAGCCTTATCCTGTGCCTTCTGCATACCACCCCCTGGTTCGATCACCTCCAGGAAATCAGCTCTGGAGAAGACCAGGATAGAAGTTGTGAGGCCTCCCCAGTCTCATTAGTCCCTGAAGAATCCAAGCTGGGCTCAGCCCCCACTGCACCCTCAGGAGAGCAGGGTTAGCGGCAGTGTGCTTGGATGAAAGACAGGACAGTGTCCTTTGACAGCTTCTCTGGATCTTGCCTTTTCTGAGAGTCGTGCACTTTGACACCTTCCCCCCACTCCCAGAAGAGTCGGCTGTAATGGCAGACACTGTGGGCAGAGAGGAGAGCAAGGTTAGATTAGCAGGGGAGGAAAAAGAAAGCACTTTGATCCTAGCCCCAGAGACAGCTGCCCTAGTCATGGGAGCCACATGGAGATACTCTTAACAAGTGCCTTAGAAAAGACCAGTGCATTCATTCACCTTACAAACTCTACAGCCCCCAAATACAGCTACTGCCAAGCCTAAGAGATTTCCATGGAAACATACTTCTTAATTCTAGCTTCACTCAAATTCAGTTCAGCATTTGCTAGGAGGAGTCAGGTCACTGGGGGAAAAAAAACCCCAAACCTACAATCCTCCATGTTTTTCAGAGGATAAAACTGTCATTGCAGGCAATGGCAAGGCCTTAATGAAGAATTTAGAAAGCCTGTTAGGACCAGCAAAATAGTCACTCACCACAAGCCTACTATAATTAGTAATAGCTGTCCTGTGGAGCTTTGCAAACAAACAGCACTTCCCACTGTACAAAAGCAGCTAGGATCATCCCCTCCTTCCCCTCGTGTGAAATAACAAAGCTCCACTAGGCAGCTGAGCATTCAGGTCCTACACCACCATCTCTCACTCCATCTATCAAGCACAGTCCTCCCTCATTGCATCACAGTCCCAGACATAATGAAATCAGAGCTGCTAATTACTGCCAAGGCAGCAGCCTTTAGTTTTGTACAATTACTGACACTTAATATTCATAGCTTATTTAGTGCTTCTGCAGGACTACCACAGCAACAAGAGCACATGTCAATGGCTAATTATAGACATTAGTACTCACTAACCACAACACAACACATCCCTTCTGGAGTCTCACACAACCACTCCCTCCACCTCCTCAGATACTCCTGCAGGTTCACACTGGCCTATTTCAGGCAGAACTAACCCTATCTTGACACATGGAGGGAAAAAGCATCACATGCCTCTGCTTTTTAAGCCTGTTCTTCCATTTACCCCACTAAGGAAAGCTTAAGATTTCTTGAGAGCACTGTTCTAAGGCAGGTAAGGAGATCCAAAGGGAGAAAATCAATTTCATATCAAGCTCTAGCTCAGAAGCACAGTCCTGGGTAGTGATGGTAGAGGGCGTCCCTTGAGACTAGCTGAGGGCAGGGTGTGCAGAACATCTCCACCCATGAGCCCTGAGGTGTCACAGGCTCAGGATTTGCTGAATTTAAGTAATGATCTTAGCTTAGTACTCAGTAGATACAGATGGGGTTCTGACTGTTCAATGACAAGCCGCTGCATCCTTTCCCAAGAAGCTGCTGCTTTGCTCTCTCACACTCTCTTTAAAAAGCTCCCAGCCTCCCATATCTTATTCCAGAGCCTGGGCTAAATGAACTGGGATTTGCTTTTAAATTAGCAGTGTCCAACCAAGCATGTTAAAATACACAGATGCAGCAAATTACAGTTGCTGGGCTCAATTTCTACTTCCCTGTGTGCAGGAGGTTTAGTAACTTGTACTCTGCTGCAGATAGGGGAACAAAGTTGGTATGTGTGTTATTCATAGCCATTAATTGCAAAATCCATGATTCCAGATCAGCAGTTTCCTAAAAGTCTGAGAAGGTGCCAGCTCCTGCAGCATGCCCTGCTGGTGACCAAGCTGTGCTTGCACTGCAAACAACCAAGAACACAGCACTCCTCAACTCCCTTCCAAATAAATATCCAGGCACACACACAGACTGGCATACAGCTATCCCTCCACAGCCTCAGCTCTGGCCTATACTCACTGAAAAGGTGCAATGGCTTCAGGAAGGAGGCTGTATGTTGCTACATTGGTCATTTTGTTGAAGAAGAATTTCCTCTTGAAGTTTTTGCTGTATGCCATTGTCCAGGGATCTAGCAAAAGAGTTACAGGGATCAGACAGAAAATGAAAGGGAGACAAAAAAAATCACCATATAAAACAAATCCAGTGCTAGCAGGGAAAAGAAACACATAAGAAAAATTGCGATCCTTCTGTTAATCCTTTTTCCTTCCCTCCCCCAAGATGACCTGCTTCCCACGCTGTTCTCTATTCACTGAGAAAAATCCCTTCTCCCTGCATCTAGAAGTTGACATTCCAAATAGGGTATTTCTATGTACTATTGCTGTGGAAAACATCTTGATGAAAAATGGTTCTCTCGTTAAAAAAGAAAGCAATCAGTCATGCAAATAAATGGAATTACACACACAATAGCTAATCAACCCACAACAGAGTAACCGATCATATAAATACCCTAACCCTTACCCAAATCCAAGCTATCCTCATTACGTACAAAGAGGTAATCTCTAGCCATTGGAATACTCCCATTAATTTTTTACCAAGTTACAACAACAGTGAGCCCCATACTTTTTACTTGGAGAGAAAGAACAGTTGAGTAAGAGTGGGGACTGTGTCTACCTACCATTCATAGTCCGTACGATGTAGAGCCCTGTGGGCACAAAGTGTCGGTCATCTCGGCCCGTGTAGGACAGCCGGGGCATTCCCCCTGAACTCTTGATGACTTTCATCTCTAACCTAAACGTTGAGAGAAGGCAGTGATAGAGATTGGCTGTTTCTTTCTTTATGATCCTCTGGCACACAGCACACCACCTGCACACCCTATCCAGAGTGTCACAGTGAGACCTGACAGCACCGCACATGGCGGGACCAAATCATCACATCCTGGAGAATTTAGTCTCTTCGCCTTCCCACATAGGGCCCGAGAAACCAGCCAGAACTGTCTGGATCAGGTTGCCAATGGAGTGTTGCCATGAAGAACTTTTGATGATCTACCATAATTCATCCAAACGAGATTGATCTTTCAGGCCACTGAGAAGTCACTGATACTTCTGCACACAAACTCAAGCACTATTGCTACTCCAACTGTTGTCAAGCACGTTGGTCACATCCACAGCATTAGAATGCAGCAGAATGAAGCTCTGAGTCAGCAGCATCTCAGAAAGAGCAGCCACCTCTAGCACAGATCAGCACATCCCTCCCATTCCTGTGCACCTCAATGGGCTCTAATGTTTCATTTGCACCAATCACTTACCTCACAAAAATCTTCTCCATTTCCTCCAACCTGTACACTTCCTTCACTCTGGCAGGAAAAGAAAAACATGATTAAAAAAAAAATTAAACTGGCCTTTTTTTTCTGTCCGAGCTACAGGGAGCAGCCAAATGGTTGATTTTGTACAGCATGAGGAAGTCAGGCATGACTGAGGTTCATCCTTCTCCTCAATCTTATGCTTCAGTGCCTAATTTCTCCTGGCTTGAGAAAACCTGACACCTGCACATTCATGGCTGGGTTGCTGTAAGCAGCATATGAGCATCCTTGCTGCTAAGGAAGCTGTGCATTTTTACCTCAGGTTAAGTACACAGAAAAGTAAGAAAAATGAAAGTCAGGTGCTTTTATTTTCCCATCAGATAAATTCACCAAGGTCAGTCCCAGGCAGGTTCTGGCCTCAGCGTGTTGGCCTCACAGTGAAATTAAACAACCTGATCTTCACTATCATTATCCTCAAGGATGCCACAAACTCCATAGTTACCTTGAGGTAAAAACAGCTTTTTTTATTTCTGTTTATAAATCAGTACAGATGATTTTGAGTCATCATTCTGTCATTATATCGAACTGGTTTTATTGTTCTGCGACACAGAAAAACCAATCAGTAAGTTTCAAAAGCACGGTCTTTGATCTAACACCCCAACCACCCATTTCCCATAACTGCTACAAGCACTGGGCTTCAAAGAGCACAGTTGGACCACTTTAACACCTTTTCACAAGATCAGCAAAGGACTCCTCTACAACCTGTTTTCACAGCTCTCCTCACTTCACCTTCAGCCCTCCACAGTATTTTAAGCTCCTCCAGTTGTCTGTCCTTTAAAACTGTCTTGAGTCTGAGATCCCACTCATCTTTCATTAAGCCACCAAGGAGAACTCCAAATTCCTCCATATTATTGCAACATTTCCAGCTTCTGAATCAGAAATTGTTTTGTCCACAATACCTATCTGATGCCCAGCACAGCGATGCTCTTATGCTCCACTGTAGGAGAAATGGAGGGTCAAGAGACAATGAAAAGCTGAAGCCCTTTGTCAGGAAATTTCTTGGGGTTGTAACTAAAGCCTTATCCTTGTAAATGCTGGTCAGCACCTCACCTACTAACAGTCAGCATCACTGTAGTGCTGCTGACCTGTCAGGGCAGACAAGGACAGAATTCTTTGCAACAATTAAGCTGAGTGCTAGACCTACTATCACACATACTTGAAATCAGCACCAGCCAATCCAACTGTGATGAAAATGTCACTGCTTGACATGGGAAAGGAGGGTACAGCTTCTCCACTATCAGTATTTATCTTAGATATTAAAAGAGCTTTTTGCCTCTTTCCAAAGAACATAAGAGAACAATGATTTTCAGCCTGCAATTTAACTCCCCTTCAGCTCCTCATCTTCACCTTCCAACACAATGAAACCAAAGCACACCAGGCTGAGGGCAGGAGTGGTCACTCACCGGATGGGGTTCATATCTGGCCGGCTAGGCTTAGAAACAGCTTTAACAAACTTCTCTGCCAGCCGAATCCTGAATGAGAATGGAAAGAGAACACAGCAATTTAACAAGATCTTTGGTACAGCAGGTAGGTAACAGTTTCAGTGGAACAGCTAATCAGACACTTCAGTACATGCAGACTGCCTCCACTGCTTGCCAAATGGGTCTGAGCAAGACTTTTTTCATCCCACTCTCCCAATTCAGTGCCCAGTGATACTGGCTATTATCCAATAGAAATGAGTCTTCATAGCTTATTCTACAAGCTCACGTGCTGTTGAATGCATTGATATATCAGCAGGATAGTAGGACTAGTCCCCAGGAAGGAAATAGAAGGGCTCATTCCTTCTCCCACAGCTAGTTAACAGTTATGCCCATTCATATTCCCAGAATGCTCAGTTCACCCAAGCTGTGCCTGGCTCACCCCAGACTAAGGAAGGAGGTAGACCTGCCCTCCTCCACAGAGAAGATACAGCTGGAGAAGGCTGTATGCACTTCACTTCAGAGCAGCTTCATTCACAGTTCATCTTTATAGCAGTGTTTCAGCTGAATGTACTTGTCTCTCCATGCTCAGCATTCTGCTTTCAGTGTGAACACTGTTTCCCAGTCACTCCTACTCATGTACAAGAAAGAAGCTTCTCCAGATCCTACATACCTCTGGTTGAAGTGCTGTGTTCGAACATCATTGCCATTCAGCACCAAGACATCGAGGATGTGGATGGCACTGATTTTTCGCTGGGCTTTCCCCTAAGGAGGGCAATACAGAGATTTACTACTCAGACTGTTGATATTTCAGCTTTGATTTGTAGCTTAGTTTAGGCCAGGGGGTCATTCTCTTCTAGCAAGAAAGCACCTTTCTAGATATCAGAAGCACACAAATTCCATGCTACTCATTTTATAGTAACATGTCATCCTCCAAGGACTGGTGTGTCTCAAATACCCAGTTCTGTCTTAGGGGAGGAGAGAGGGCAGGACCACAGCTGTGAATACAGCATGAGAATCTTTCTTCCATGGTCTGCAATCACTAGAGTAAAGAGCCACAGACACATGAAGTCATGGTGGCACTGTCATCTGCTGCTCCACATAGAACAGCACCATGTCTGGTCCAAAGTGTTTCCAAAATAATTTTAAAAGGTCGTATCTCTAGCACTGGACACAAAGAAGGAACTTAATCCAAAACAGTTACTCAAAAGAGCATATACAAAAAAACTTCACACCCTTGGACCCAGCACAGGTGGGACATTTATTCTGCAGTATCTTAACAGAGAATAGGTGAAAATGCTCTTTGTATTTGCAGCCACTTAGTAAGCACAGCCTCTTACTTGGTAAGAGTAGCTCCTACCTCTCCTTTCAGCTCATGAACAATCTCCACAGAAAGAAGAGTATCTCGTGGCAGCTCAGTTTTCAAATCCAGCTTTGTCCAGCGATCTGACTGGCGACCACCCCAGGTGTAGATCTGCGATTTCTGTGTGTAGAAAGCAGAGTCAAATTCAGCCAAAGCTTCATGAGAGCAAGGGTGGAAGGAGAGACCCCTGACTAACTGCAGAGCAGCCCTCAGAGAATTTCTTAGTCCTAGGTTGTCACAGGCAGTTTCTTTGTCAGAAGTTTAAAGGAAGAACCTTAATCTCTACAGCAAAGGGACAAAAACACTGATTCTAACCTGCCAGTGACTTTTCATACCCACACAAAGAACCAGAAATAGAACACCTTCAAAAGGACAGTGAAGATAATTACAGACATTAGCAAGAGTGAAGGTCTCTGTGTAAGCTGAAATTACAAAACCAGGGTTAATTAGTGTGAAAAGCAGTGATGTCAGGAGAAAAACAAAGTAACTAGCAGTCTCAGACTGCTGATGGGGATCCTTTTTGGCCTTTGAGGACAGGAAAAGGATGAGATGAAACTGCAAGGCTAACAGTAGCAATTGAAATAAACCAGCAAAACTCCCAAACTGTTTTCAGCACTTACCCCTAGCCCCAAAAGGAACTTCTGCTCACTTCCAGACACCATGCACCGGTAATCTAACACTTGGCGAATTTTCTCCAGTGTGCTGGAATTCAGAGGAGTGGGTTTGTAACTGAAGGTATCAATGTCTGTGCCCTAGAGACCAAAATATGAAAAAGTTAGATACAATCCATCAACAGGTAAGTAAATGCAACATTTACATGAAACAATAATCCAGGATGAGTTTCTTCCTCTCTTAATTCCAATGGGAGTTATATTTGTATGAAAGGACTCAGAACAAGCTTCTGGGCAAGGTCTCACCTGGATCAGCTCAAAGAACTTGGACTTGGGATCTGAAGATGAAGGAGCAACACGAGCTTGATCAGGAATCTGAAAATAAATCCAAATAATTGATAGTAAGTGTTATTCTTTGGCACATATCACTTGGTGGCGATTAATTTGTTTCTGGTAAGTTCCTTGCTTCTGATAAGTTCCTTCTGGTTTCAATATACGACAGAAATACCCCTGAAACTCCTGCTCTTGGGATTCCAGTTGATTGGAGAGGTCATGTGGCAAATAAAAGGTCTCACAGGTTTTGCAAATTTAATATAGGCATACCACATCTCTCAGAAAACAACAGGCAACTTCAGAAAGATTTAGACTAAAGCTTTGATTTAATGCATGTTTTGGTGAAATACTCTTTCATCCAAGACACACAATCAGCCTGTGAAACTCACTGCCGTATCTATGGCCCCACTGCAGTCAAAAGCTCATGAAACAGGAACTGCAAACTCATACAACAAGACCTTTTAGAGAGCTCTGCTGCTTGGGATTTAGGTGCTGAGTTTACTCTCTGTACAATGAAGTATTCTCAACTGCAGGAAAAAAATCTGCTCAGTTAAGCTACACACCTACCAAATCAGGGACAGCCCATTTGCTTACATAAACAGCTTGAAACAACCTCTAACTTCCCCACAAGAATGTATTGAGGCTCTGGCTGAAAAGTCCTATCTGTACTGCAGCTCCCCTCTTGTTTCACCACAGCAAGGACACCTTCACAACCTCACTGCTTTACAGATTACTTACCCCCCATAGTTGGAGACACTCCTTCCGGATTTCAGCCTGCCGTGGCTCACTCAGGGTCCTAAAGAAAGACACCAGACTGTTAAATTGGTGACACTGCCTTGATCTTGCAGCACTACATATCCCAGCCCTATAAAATTTGGATCTTCCAGCATCTGGCTGGAGAATGACAAACATGCACTGCTTCACAACGGGTTATAGAAAAGAGGATGCTGCCTTCCCTCCCCACCCTCCACCCATCTCCAGTCCCAGTGTTCAGCTTTGTTTCATGGTCTGAAATACTGATTAGCAGCCACTACTCCATTCCATCAAAGTACCACTGGGTATAAATATGTTCAAGAAGCTACATATTAGTATGAACTTATGCTAATCTCCAAGAGCTGGGTACACAGTCCTACTTAAGAACAGCAATGAAGACTTGCTGAAGGCCACACAAACAAACGAAAGTGTCAATGTTAGGTTTAACTCTTAGGTTAATTCCTAACTACCCAAGTCACTCAACTTTCTACCATGTATTATCTCTGAATAACACCTGAACAGAAAAGCCATAGCAGGGAAACTGCTATACATCACAATGGCTTTAGTTTTATGCAAGAAATTAACATCATAAGCTTTAGGTAATTCTAGGTATGTAACTTGGATGCTTTGAATTGCCCCTGGAAAATGAACAGCTATTGAACCACACTGAACTTAGATTGTCACTGTTGAATTGAACATACCACCTTGGAGTTACTGTTCTGTTTATATCCCTGGCTAAGAAGCAAGCTCACTTATGGTAAGTGGAAACCATGCAATGCATGGAAGGCTTCTCAAGGGTGATAATAAACCATCAACCATCAGGACACCTCCAGCCACCCACAGGTTTCTGCTAATAACTCAGGCAGGGACACAAACTGAGCTACCTAAAAGCACTATTCACTTTTGTGGCTCCAAAGGCCAAGACAATTACCAGCTCAAATCAAGAACATATTAAAGAAGAGCAAAACCAATTCATTTATGGTAGGTTAATTCAGTCCTCACCAAAAGCCAGAGGAATATACTCACGTGTCTTGAACAAAGGCACGAATTTTGGCTAATGCCTTTATCTGAACTTTGCAGTGGCTGAAAGATAAGACAAGCTTCAGTCAGGGAGCAAATTAATCACCACCAAGATTGTTCTACTGTTCAAAGCAAGAAAGAGTGCTGGGACAACAGGAAGAAACCAGTTTGATCCTCAAAGCAGTGATGGATCCTTACCAAAATGATCCAAACTGACAGGAAGACCACTGGAACAAATTAGGCAGTAGCCTCATTTCTTTTCTACACAGTATTCAGAGGCCAAACAGTTACTAGCAGCAATACAGAATTTCTGTCTGCACAATGTCCCTCTGCTCTGCTAGAGGCTCTCAGGGAGCAAAAGCAGAGCAGTGTAGCAGCATGGAAAAGCACCTCCAAGTGCTATAACTGAAAGCCATGCTGGTTAACCTGCCTACAGCCAGCAGCCCTCATCACCCACAGACACTCACTTTTCATTGGACTGGACAATGTAATTGTAAAAATCCTGGTTGTCTTTGATCACATTCAATGGGACAATAAGATTCACATCCACATCAGAGTTGCGCAGCTGGTTGAGTCTGATGTTCACTGAGAAGAGGTATTCCCGCACATCATCAATCCCTGACTTCAGTCCTTTGCATACCACGTACCTGCAGAGCAAGGCAGGGAGATCATGTGTCTTCAGTTCTTATACACAGCCAACTTTCCTGCCACACTCACATTATAAGAAGAGTTTCCCAAATCCCAAGAATTATTTCCTCCTAGATATCCCTAGGAAGGTACAATCCCACCCATCAAAGTCATCATACATCTTCTACGCTATGGAAAGATTGGGAAATACAACCCTATGTAAACTCCCACAGATCTCCCTCAAATAGTAAACCAATTCTGCTAAGCTTGGCAGGTACAATGAAAATACACATCGTATCATAGAATGCTTTGGGTTGTAAGGGTGCTGAAAGATAATCTAGTTCCACCCCCCTGGCATGGGCAGGGGCACCTTTCACCAGACAAGGCTGCTCAGAGCTCTATCCAGCCTGGCCTTGAACACTCTCAGGGATGGGACATCCACAACCTCTCTGGGCAACCTATTCCAGTGCCTCATCATCCTCACAGAAATTAACTGTCTCCCAATACCTAATCTAAACCTACTCTCTTGCAGTTTGAATCCATTCCCCCGTGCTCATCTAAATAGTCTCTCTCCATCTTTCTTGCAGTCTCCCTTCAGGTACTGGAAGGTTGCAATTAGGTCACCCCTATAAGTAGTCTCTTCTCCAGGCTGAACAAACACAATTCTCTCAGCCTTTCCTCATAGGAGAGGTACTCTATCCCTCTAATCATCTTGGTGTTCCTCCTCTGGACTTGCTCCAACAGGTCCATGACCTACCTGGGAAGGGACCCCAGAGCTGCATGCAGCATTCCAGGTGGGGTCTCACAAGAGTGGAGTAGGGGGGCAGAATCACCTCCCTTGACCTGATGGCCACACTGCCTTTGATGCAGCTTAGAATATGGTTGGCTTTCTGGGCTGCCAGCACACATCACCAGCTCATGTCCAGCCTCTCATACATGCTGCTCTAGCTTCACTGGAACCATAGTTGTTTCATGCAAAACACAACTTATTATATATATATCTAGTTCCACAGCTTTCTTCCCATAAGGGTAATTTGGCAAATATAATCTTTACCTCATCATAATTTGCTAAACATCTAACATGTTTCCCCCTTCGAGACAGCTGCCAATTGAGGCAGGTCACAAAGCTTCCACTAGACTTCCCCAAATCCATCTATAGCAGTATTTAGAGAACAGGGTTTCTTTAGCAGATCAAGAATCTCACCTCTCCGAGTTAGCAGGGCGGCTTGTCACAGGTTTAAAGATGCACACCCTCTCAAAGCAGCAGTACAGCAGATAAACAAGTCCCACACTGAATGGAGTAAACAGGTCAAAGGTTTTGCAGACAAAATGTCCTCCTAGAAAAAAAAAAAAAAAAAAGAAGTACACCAATACCAGCAGATTATAAGGAAACAAGGAGATACCAGGCATCTCAATAACTTTCTCTTCTGCATGAGTAGTAATAGTGTTTCTGTACAGTTAGACAGCATCCAAAACACATCTATGAAGTGAGCCAGCAAGGCTTCATGAAACCTCTTCCCCATGTCTCTGCAGTAAAGAGAGAAAAGCATTTCCCTGACCAGAAACAAATCAGTATGTAAGCAAGCCTTTACCTACCCCCAACCCTTCCCTTCCAGGCCCAAACTCTGCCCTATGGCACAGCAGCATGCTATGCCAAAGCCTTCATGGAAGAGGAGCTCCAATATTTGCAGCAAGGAACCTCAGGCTGAAGGAGGCTGCTAACAGATGTTACCTAAACAGAATAACTTGCCATCTAGAGAGAAAAGAGTCTGTGTTGCTCCTCACCTTCAAACGAGATTGCCAATTTTCCCAAGCAAAAACCAGGCAGTTTTACAGAACTATTATCTACCCAGAAAAGAAGGCTGCCCCTTTTGCCACATCACATTTGAGACTACTGCTAAGTAGATCATTGCCTCAGGTACTTCTAAGCATAGGGCACAAGATAAAAATTATCATTATGTCACCATTTGTCTTCTGCATCAGTACCAAAAGCTAACTGAACTCAGTGGAAGAGAAGAGCCATCAAAATCAGATACAGTTGTAATGGCCATCATTCAGCCACAAGGAGGTACAGCTAAGACAATGTGAGAAATCATCTTGTCTCTTGTCTGGTAACAGGGATACCAGATTTAAAGAAGAAGAGCCACAAGTTAGAGGGAAGGATGTTCCAGACAAAGACCACTCTCTGTTCCAACCAGCTGGAATATTCAAGAAGCAGCTGGTCCAGCTAGTGCCATAGAACTCAGATATACTGTCCAGTTATCACAATAGTGACCTTAGTCTAAGACAGTTACATAACCTAACAAATTAAGAGGTTTAAACTAATGCATTTTACCCCATGCTTTTAAATAAAAGCAAAACAAACATAGATAATTTTTTTTCTGACAAGTTGTCTTAGCTTTGTGACACCCATCTCAGATATATGTGCACACATTCAATTCTGTGCAACTTAGCCTCACTGCAGAGCAGACTTCAAGGCACATTAGCAAAAACTGTACAGCAACCTTCCACAGTGCCACCCACACCTTAGAGGAGGAAGAAGAAGATTAATGGATAAAACATACCTGTCCGGACAATGGACAGTGCTGTAAGGAACTGGCAAAGCATGAGCTGTTTGCTTAGGATTTCTTGCAGATTCTCCTGACCCTCCACTGAGAAACCCTGCAAAGCACACAGCATATGGTCAGTATCTCCACAAGTCTGTTGGTCAAGCAAAGGATTCTGTGGAGCTAAATCATGGAATCTTGATAATTTCTGTTGCTTTAACGTAAAAGAGCTACTACCAGGAATTTTAATGGCAAGCCTTGAAGAATTTTCATATTGTAACTACAGACACATGACAAACACCCTACTATATGCAGACTGAGGTATCAGCTTTGGTCAGTAGTACAGGAGGAAAAAGAAATGGACCAACCCCATCAGCCATTAAGAAATGCACTCCCTTGTGATCAGTATTGTCCAAAACAAAATTCTGGAAAGCAGTGATGTTCTCTGATCGAGTGATGTCTCCATCTCCATCAATCCCTCCCTCTCCTGAGGGGAAAAAGACAAATCATTAATGTGTTCACAAGTACAAACATAAGATCAGGATGTGCAGATGATTTATTGTATTCAATCAATCCTTAGTCAGAAATTACAAAGACCTTGAAACAAAGACCTTGATATGCAAATAAGCATTGGCAAATACTCTTGTTCCTTACCAAAGGTGCCTTTTAATTTAGGAAAAACATTCAGATCGTGTGATCAGGCCGAAACAAAGCCATATAATAACCATGCCCAAATGATGAGTAGTACATTAGTCTCAGCAAAAGACAAATCATTCCCTGCACTCCCCTGAGATGAAAACTGACTACGTGACAAATAACATACTCATGCAAGTAGGGATGACACGTAGCTGAACCTACTGAAAATGTAAGATTCAACCTCTCTGCACAGCTTGCCTGTTAAAAACATTTTATTACACACAAGGCAAAATTATTTACATTATGCATTTGCAACCTTCTACTAAGAATTCAAATCATACCAAAGAAACACAATACTATTTCCAAACACAATGTAATCTGGACTTTAAAAAACAACCCCACCCCACCTCAAAAAAAACAAACCTGTAAGAAAGCTTATAAAGGGAGTCGGGAAAGGGAAATAAGAGTTTGTGCACAAACACACAGACAGTTTTCCTATATGGCTCTTTTTAAACAGAGCTACATTGTCCCCCCCAGCTGGTGTTTTAGAAACCTGATCTAAAGCTCACCAGTTCTGACTCCAAAGAAGCCTGAACTTCTATCTGGTATTAGACCCTATAAATCTTCTACAACTACAGCTTCTATTAACTCAACTTGACTGGAAGACTAGAAAGCAGGAAAGATCAGGATGCATGATAGTGCTTTGATAACTAAATTCCTCACCAACCATTCTGTCAGCATATGAAGTGACACTGGAATTTGTTACCATTCTTCACAACACAAATATCACAGCACTATACTTCCCTTCCCATCACTGGAAGAGAGTCTGTACACATCTCACTAGACTTTATAGCGTAACAGATAGAAAATTCATCAAAATCATTGGGCTATTAATTTCTCCAGGTGTGTGCTCCTCTCCATAAGAACATCAGCTTGCAGTGAGTTAAGAAGGTCCAAATACTGCAACCCTTAGAACAATGTGTTTATCTGCCTTGCTGCCCTCGCCATGAACCTTCACTTTAACAGATCGAATCCTCAAGTGCCAACCATTCTTCAAGAGGTCATGGTCAAGAGAGGAAAAAACCAAACATGGCACAACAATGGAAAAGCAAACCCTCTTCTTTATAAGACAGTCACACTCAAGTTTCCTTTACACAGTCTGAAATAAGAAGCAGGAATATTAGCCATCCTTGAATTTCCCTTTCCTATTCCTACACCCTAGGCAGATAGAGGCATCAAACATTAGCAAGCTTAACAAGTTACGATCCATGAGGTGAGATGCAGCAATTGTTTGTGTATACCTGCTTAGTCTGTCTCAAAGCAAGGTAAAACATGTTAGCTTAAATCTCTTTGGATTAAGAAACTCATTTAGTCACAGTGATTCAGATACAGCCTCTAGCCCAAATCTGTTTTATTTATCTTTACTAAGAGCCCACAATCAATTATCAAAGAACAGCTAGGAAGGTCTGATACAGAAGCCAACTGACAGTCAGGCAAATGAGGGTTCTATCTCTGGCTCCGCTAATACATCTTTGGGCAAATCAGGAGGCTGGAGCACATCCCCTATAAGGACAGGCTGAGAGTGCTGAGGCTGTTTGGCCTAAAGAGAAGGCTCTAGAGGGACCTTACAGCAGCCTTCCATTACATAAAGCAGCCTACAGGCAAGATGGGGAAGGACTCCGTATCAGGGAGTGACAGAACAAGGGGTAATTGCTTCAAACTGAGAAAGAGTGGGTTTAAATTAGGTATTAGGAAGAAATTCTTTACTGTGAGGGTGGTGAGGCACTGCCAACAGGTTGCCCAGAGAAGTTGTGGATGCCCAGACTCTGTTCAAGGCCAGGCTGGATAGGGCTTTGAGGAACCTGGTCTAAGGGAAGGTGTCCCTGCCTGTGGCAAGGGAGGTTTGAGCTAGATGATTTTTAAGGTCCCTTCCAAGCCAAGCAAATCTATAATAAGTCACCTCATTCACTGCGTTTCAGACTGAGATCAGTGATGTGAGAAAAATATTGTAAAGCAATCTTACAGCACTCTACAATGTTCAGATAATCAAAGCACTGAAGTATCACACACCTTCCCAGGGAGGACTGAAAATAAATGCAGAAACATGACTTGATATGCAAACTCACCCATCTCAACCCCTTTCTCTGATGGCAGCTTCCTTCTCCCTCGCAAAATTGTTCCCTATAAACAGGCTTCTCCTAGATCCCTGTGCTGGTATCAATCCCAACTCTGCAGCATAAGCAGAAATGTCAAGTAACACTCAAGTATGCACCACATACCATAATAGGGTTCAAAGAGCTCACTGGAAGCAGAATAAAAGTCCTCCAGTTTAAAATCATTTGGTCCTTTCAAGGTCATGCCAAATCCTTTCGCATGCCACTTCCGTCTCCACAAGACATATTCTGAGAAGCCTCCGGGACCAGCACACACATCAGCAAAGTAGAGCAGCTCTGCATCATACTCCTTTATCAGAGGCACCTGCAAAAGGAAACTGAGGACATTCTACTGATCCATAACAGTACCCATCAGTCAAATCAGATACACCAGAACCTTTACTACTCGTAGAAGCCTTTGAAACACCTGTTTTCCCAGCTCGTCTCCTAAGAATTCTCATTTCTCCCCACCTTCTACGTTCTCTGAAAAAGCACTGCTGTTTGAAAGTTAGAGGTCCTCACCCCATGGTAGTCCTTAGGGTTTGTAAACATGTAGTCAAAGACATGGTCCATATTTGCCATCTTCATTGCAGCTCTGTGAACACATAAATAGGGACCTATTGAGTTTCATCCTTGGCTCCTACAGCTGAAGGTGGGCATAGATGGGAAAGGGGCTACGCTACCAGACGTTCTACAAACCTGTTCAGAAAGAAAGCTCCCCGGATCATCTCATAGGGGTTAGACCTTGTTCGGGCTCGACGCATTTCCTCTCCATCCAGCTCATCAAATACACTCTGCACAACCAGAAACAAAGTTCAGCTGGACCTGGCACAAGCTGGATGCATAGCTAGGCATGACCATTTCCTATCCTCATGCTTCTCTCTCCTTAGACAGTAAACTCCATGCAGGATTTTATTCACCAACACAATGTTTCTCCATCACATAATGATACTGACTCTTCTTCTAACCGACCTCAGCTATCAAGCCAATTAAGTAACATTGCAGAATTCTGTACTGATAGCTCCAGAACCTGATAATGTAGTTAGCCACCTCAAAAGCAGTACCAAACCAGGTTATTTCTTTCACACATATACACACACACTCACACCCTTACTGCAATTTACAAGGGTATGATAAAATTCAGAAGGGAAGATGCAACACACAAGAAAAGAAGGGGAGCTTATTTCCTGAGCTTATTCAAGTCTTCAGCCTTTCAGCTGGACTAAAAAAGGGAGACTGTTTTCAGTCATCTCTGTCCTGCTTTTGGCTGGGGTAGAGTCAATTTTCTTCACATTAGCTATATTTTTTTTCTTAGTAGCTGTATTTTTGATTTGTGATGGAAACAGTGTCGTAATATAGAGATGCTTTTGTTATTGCTCAGCAATGCTTGTGGAGCATCAAGGCCTTTTCTGCTTCTCCCACTGCTCTGACAGCAAATAGGCTGGGGGTGCACTCTAGTGGACTTTGGAAGGGACACAGCTGGGACAGCTGACCCAAACTTTCCAAAGGGGTACTCCATGCCATAGGGTGCCATGTTTAGTATAAAAAGCTGAGGGGAAAAAGAAGCAGGAGACATTTGGAGGTTTTGTCTTCCTAAGTAACTGCAGCATGTGATGGAATCCTGCTCTCCTGGAGATGGCTGAACACCTGCCTGCCCATGGGAAGCAGTGAATTAATTCTCTGCTTTGCTTTCCTTGTGTTGAGTGCCTTTTGCTTTACGTATTAAGCTTTATCTCAACCCATGAGGTGTTTTTCACTTTTATCCTTCCAATTCTTCCCTTGATCCTGCTGGTGGGGAATGAGTGAGCAGCTGTCTGGTGCTCAGCTGCTGACTGGAGTTCAACCAAGACAATCTCTTAGAAGGCTGGGGTTCAAAACAGGTTGCTGAACAGACAGTAAACCCCAGGATATTAGGTCATCCCAGTGACATGGAGGTGAAAGAGGACATTCAGGGCTCTTACCAATCACCTAAATAAACTTCTCAATCCTCTTCAATTATCTATTTTGCTTGCTTCCCCAAAATTCCAGTTCCTTTCTAAAAGAGGGACTCACCTTGCACTGCAGAACATTACGTAAAAGCTCTTCGTTGCAGAACTCTGTTTCATCTTCAATCACCATCTTCCTCTGGAACAGGACAAGAACACAGAAAGCATTCAGCAAACATGATATCTGTCATTTCGGTAGGCAGCATGTACCAATGATGGAAGAAGGCTAACAACCAGATACTAGGCTGTGTTAGCAAGTACATGGTGGTCAGGCTGATTCTCCCCTCTTAGGCATCTTTAGACTACATGTGAAATGCTGCATCCAGTACTCCCCACTGGAAGACAGACATACTGGAGCAAAATCAGCAAAAGGGCCACCAAGATGACAAGGGTGCAGAAGCACCTGGTATACCAGGAAAGACTGAGATAACAGTTTGTTCAGAATGGAGGAAGGGAGATCCTATTGCTGTACCTAACAATGAGACAAGTGCCTAGTGGCAGAAAACAGAAAAGACTGACCTAGACTCCTAGAGATGTACAGCAATGGGACAATAAACAATGAACACGAACATAAAAAATGCCCATTAGCCCATAAGTTTTCTTTTGTCAGCTGGGTTATTTTGCTGGTTTGAGCTGAAGTAGAGTTAGCTTTCTTCACAGAGGCTAATATGGGGCTATGTTTGGGTTTTGTGCAGAACACAGAGTTGATAATGCAGAGATGTTTTTGTTATTGCTGAGCAGAGCTTACACAGAGTCAAGGCCTTTGCTGCTTTCCGTACTGCCACACTGGCAAGGAAGTTGGGGATGCATGGGAGATTGGGAGGAGACACAGCTGGGACAGGTGACCCAAACTGACCAAAGGGATATTCCACACCATATGACATCATGCTCAGTATATAAGGTGGGAGGAAGAAGGAGGAACATCTGGAGTGATGGCATTTGTCTTCCCAAGGAACCGTTACGCGTGATGGGCCCTGCTCTCCTGGAGATGGCTAAACACCTCCTGTCTTTGGGAAGCAGTGAATTAATTCCTTGTTCTGCTATGCTTGTGTGTGCAGCTTTTGCTTTCTCTATTAAACTGTCTTTATCTCAACCCATGAGTTTTTGTAGCTTTTAAAAAAAATCCATGCCGTTGGGGGGGGAGTGTGTGAGCGGCTGCGTGGTTCTTGGCTGCTGGCTGAGGTTAAACCACGACAGTTATCAAATACTGAAACAGACCCCCAAACAGGCTGTGAAGTTTCCATCTTTGGAGATACTCAAAACTCGACCAAACCAAGGCCTTGAGCAACCTGATCTAGTTGGACCTGTTTTAAGCAGGAAACTCTGTTAGCAATCTCAAGAGGCTGCTCCCAGCCTGGGCTATTCTACAAGTATTTGACATGGCATTTGTTTCAGACTGAGTAGTGCTACCTTGTCTTAGGCTGGTAAGTAACAAGCTCTAATCAATTACCTTCCCCACAGTCATCCACTCCTTCAGCTCCTGGGCATCTGGGATCTCCGTGGTACACTCAGGGCACCAGTCCACCTTCTCATAGGCACTAGGCTGCAACCACAAGCCATGGGAAAAGCTAAAGTTGTTTTTACTAGCAAAATATGACAATCAATTGCTCCCCAAAAGCTTGCCTCCCAATCCTAGCATAAGGGGTTATGCTGTGACTTTAGGGCCAACACAGAGTTTTTTTCCTCCTACACCACATGTCTTATTTGTTTTGTTTTTAAAATTAAAAAAGAAATCCCCAAACACCTCTGCCACAAAAGAACCCTCACCACTTTCCTCCTATTAGAGTCTGATAATCAAGACAAAGCACAAGTCTAGTACTCTCAAAGTACAGTTTAGAGATACTGGAAAAGAGACAGTTGCCAAAAACCCCCACACTTGCTTCACACATTCCTTCTCACCCCAGCCACAGAAATGGAAATCAAAACAAAGTACTTACCTCTGGCTCATCCTGCCAATCAATATTGAGCTCCCCATCAAATCCTTTCAGGGTCAGCCCAAAGCCTCTCCTTCCCTTCTGATTGGAGGCCTCAACAATATCCTTCCTGCCTTGGCCATATTTTCCCAGACCTTCTCCTTCTCGGAAGCCCATCTTGGCCTATAAAACAAGCAAAGGGAGAACACTGAGGCAAGTAGACTTGAGTTTCCATACTACTACTGAGGTCAAAGATTAGCAGGGAAAATGGCACATCACCCTGAAGTGACTTCAGCATCGAGCATTTTCAATCTCAGTGGTGGCTTTCAGGATTTTAGAGTGAGTTCACAAGACATGAAAAACTTGATCTGAAGAATGATGTTTGAGATGACAGCAAAACACTAAAGGTTCAGTAATGCAGGAACAGCCTGCTCAGAGGGAGAAGCAGTAAGGAGCCTGGAGACATTCATCACAGTGTTCAGTAAGCATGGAAGGACCATTAAAAAAGATGCTGGCACAGGAAAAGAATTCATGTTGTGATGATATTCTTTGTTGCAAACATATATTTCAAGCATCAGTTAAAACTTCACCTAAAACTCAGAGCAGAACTGCAAGACACACTTCTCTTGACACACATACCCATCTCTTAGATTAAAAGAACTATGTTCATTAACTGCTAGTTTTTTGGCCTTTCCTCTCAGTAAATTTTAGCAACAAGAGAACAATAACAAAAAGCAGGGAAGAAGTCAATTTCATATCCTCCAGTATCCATCTACAAGACAGTAAGTAAATTGAAGATTTAATGACTGTTTCACTTTGAATGTTATTCATCTACTCCTTCCTGTGAGAAGCAACAAAGAGATTATTACCAATCTGTATGAGAAACAACACAAGAACATCTGACAGGTTCTATACAAAGGTACATGGTGTTTTCTCATTGCCTTTGCTACCTGGCTCTGAATCACACCTTGAGTTATGTACATCAAATGTCACAGCCACCGAACCTGCTATACACTAGTTTTCTAAGGACAGAATTTTGAACACAGAGTAATCAAGGACCATCTTCCTTTTACTTACCTAATGCTGCCAAATCATTCAACCGGACTTGATACCACATCAATCTTTATATTCAAATTTATGAGGCTTTACAAAGAAAAGCCTCCCAGATTCAGCAGTAAAAGCTCCTGTATTGTGGCAAGTGAAAGCACACTTCCTAATTGGCTCAGGAGAGAACTCTCTAAAGAAAGTCTTGCACTAGAATCAGCAAACTGCTGCCCAGTGCCAAAAACACACATGGACAGATTCTGAAGGGTCAGAAACAGGATTTAACTACTGCAAGGTACAATCAGCAACTCTCACCCTCTGGATCCCATTGAGTTTAGAATTCAGCAATAAAGTTCTTGTGCCACGTAGAGTTGTGATCCTGTTGGTCAGCAGCATTCCACCTCCTTAAGAGGCAGCATCTCCCTCTTCCCACCCCAAGTAGCAGCTAGCGCTTCCCATCTTCTAGCAGAATACAGAACTTCTAACTTGGCAAAGGCAGGTACAAGCTGGTCTACCACCATGGAAAGATTGCCAACTCCTGCATTTGTGAGCACAGCACCAGCACACAACAAAGGGAGGAGACAAAGGGAGAACATTCAGGTCCCCACAAAGTCCCAAACTTTGTCATGTTTCAAGTAATACACAAACTATACTTTTCTTCTCTGCCACTCTTGGAAATAACATTTTTGTTTCTCTGTTCTTTCATGATTATGAGATACTCACAATACCACAGTGATAAAGTTTGCCTCAGGAAATAAGCACGCATCGAAAGTGACTCCACTGCTCTACAGCCTACTATTGCCTTAAACTCGGGAACAAGCTGCCAAATTTGGGATTACCATGAGACAGAGACAGTCAACAACTTTCTTAGAACTTCCTAAAAGCACTTTCTTCCACATACTAACACTGTGCAATTGAGGGGTGGTCGAATGCCTTTAAAGTTTAATTGCCACAGTCTCTATTGTTCACAACTCCCTGCCTTTCTGAGTAATTTCCAGCCCTACACAAAGCAGAGTAGGATGAATTGAAAGAAAAGAAAAAACACCTTAATAACCAAAGTAATAATTCCTCGAGAGTATACCAGACAGCCTCTAAGACCAAACAAATTAATGTCAATCATAGAATTTGAAAAGGCCTTTCTTACAAGGCATTTGTTAATTCAAGCATTGTGAAATAACACATGGTAGGACCTTTTTTTTTTCAAGTTCAGCAAGCTGCCTGATCCAGAGATCCCTCCCTTCTCATTCACCTCCCTTCTCCTCCTAGGCCTTGAACATGAATCAACTTTCATTTTTTAACAGATCCCCTTAAACCAAGCTCTCTCAGCCTGCCTCAGTTACTGGTAGTAGCTGGCTCAGAGATGCAGAGAACACTGCTACAAAGAGGATGAGAATCAAAATACCTCATAACAAACTACTCTTTTCACTTTACTCTTATCAGTTCTTAAGAGTTTGGTCCAGAACTATTTTGACCTACCATGAGCTTTTGGGAGACACTGTTATACATTGAGTAACGAGACGAAGTACCCTCCACAAGAGAGTCTTGTTTGAACTCACTGCTGAAGACTGGTCTTTTTTCATCACTCTCACTGTCAGACCCACTGCTGCTACTGGAAGACTCTGTAAACAAACAAAAAAAAAGTGAGAAAACTGAGAAGGAAAATAAAAGCAAAATGGAAGACAGACATCTCAGTAATCATGTTAAGAATACAGTGTGACTCATTAAATCCTCTCAAGACACACACAGAGAGGACACTTCAGAATCTCCAACGTGCTATGGGAAGCATGCCAGGTGTAATATAAAACACTCCGTGGAACCAACACCTGGCTATCCGCCCCTTTGTCTCAGGGGCACACAGCCTCTCTGAGGCAATGGATTCCAGGCCCTACAAAGTGCTAGGCAAACCCCAGCACAACAGCAGAGCAGGCCACAGCACGACCACAACAGTACTGTGGTATCCCTGACCTTTGCAATGATCCTGAGGCACTAAGAAGGTCCACAGGGATTCTCTGCTGAGAATAATGACAATTACACCTTGATGAAACATAAAGAATTTTCCCCTGTATCCAACTAACAGCAGGTATAAACAGGCCTAACTTAATCAACAAGTACACAGGCATCTACCAAATGGCCAATACTGCAGAAAGAAGGGAAAATTAAACTAAGTGTAAATTTGACCCCACTACCCACCTCAGTAGCAAGGATCTACAAGTTCACCACCTGTCAAAGGTTTTCACCTCTAGAGTTTACTGATACATACAAACTCAAGTGAAAGATAAGACCAGAAGACACCGATCTTTTTTAAAAATAGCCACAAAGGTTTGAGGAAGAACTTTAGTCAAGGTGCAAACAAGTACCAACATACGCAGCAGGCACTCAAACATTTCTCACCTGAAAGTCATCTGAAACTGGTATATCAGAGCCTTCAATGGGCACCAAACAATGAAGCTCTGTAGACACCTAGTTCCACCTGGGGGTATACTTGGGAAGAACCTAAGCCTGTATGAGCTGGATAGTCCTCACTGCTGCTCTATAGTTATGAGATGCTCAAACCTATTTGCTTCATGCTGGATTTAACTGGGATCTGAACAGGAATCATGGTACTCACATCATTTCTCTCAGTCTGCTTTGCACCAGGTTGGTCCCGAGGGAGGCCCTATAACCAGAATCCTTCTGTTTCTCCTGTGGTAGTATCACTATGAGGATGAAGCAACAGCACAAGTTTCCTTCCTGAAATTTACCTACCACCTCATCAGTCATACTGAAGTTAATGCTGTGGGGCAGAGCATACAGACTAGAGCAGCAGCAAATTCACAGCAAGCACAGCCACACTCTGCACGGGACCTCTGCCTCTTGTTTGATTTCTAGTACTTGGCATTCTGTGCTACTTTGTACAACCTGGAGAAGCTGAACTATAAAAGCTGCCCCGAGATAATGTAGAAAATTATTGTTAGTAGAGTTGATCTTTCTGTTTATCACTTTAAAAGCTATTATTTAGCTCCATAGAAGTGCTTAAAAAAACAAAATACATTATAATTGCCTAAAAAGAAGGACTGAACTTCTCTTACACTTGTATGAGTTCAGAAAAAATACAGACTTTTTCCCTCAATTCACAAATCTGTTTCTCCTGTTCTGGATACCTGAGCACCAGTGAAACAACAGGAAACAACTGGAAAATTAACAAAAAAAGGTCTTTACAAGGGAGTGAAGTGAAAGTGACAGTGAAATATACATTGTTAACACCCTTTCACTGCATGCTCAGTGCTTGCTGCTGAACTATCAGTTTTTAAGATTCAGGATCTGTGGCCTCACCCAACACTAGAGTTTTACAGCATCAACCTTTGAGACTTCCACCTGGAGACAAGGAAGGCTGTGATTTCACTTGTGTTTGCACCACTCAATACCCATCTTGACCTTCAAATGTCTGTCACACAAGCTACATTTCTCTTTCCTTCACAAAGTTCTTAGCTAAGAACAGGCACACAAAGGGCTTTTGTCTTAGAGTCAGTTACTGCTTCCTGCTGCTTCAATACACAGCTTCAGTTAACTTTGCTGTCTGCTTTTGAGCTGTGCCTTATTTTCCAGACACTCATACAGTGCTTTAAACACAATACCCACTACACAATCTCAAGACAGTCCCTTCACAACACTTATTATTCTTATGATTTGCTAGGCCATGCTCACCCGTGATCAGATCCTAAATCACTTCTTTCCCCTAGCCTCTCTTCTGTCATCAGAAACCACAATGAGCATAACAGACTACTAAACAATCAGCCCTACCCAAAATGTTGTCCTCGACCCCAGCTCTCACACCGTGCACCTCTGACCTCCTCACTCACCTCTGGCCTTGCCAGACACGTATGCACACAATACCCTGGAACTACAAATACTCCCAAACTGACCCACTCATCTCCCACACACATCCCCTTCCACTTTCACAAGAGGAAGGTTTCTTTATGCATTCAGGCCTACTGTCACTAACACTTCATGACCATGAGAAATCCCAAGACTCTGAAACAGAAGGCATGACAGCGTGGCAATCTGAAGTCCCATCCTGGGAGAGTCTCAAGTGTCCCAAAACAGCCATATCAACTGTGTAGGACAGTCCCCTCATCTTTGGTATGCCCCAAGCTCCAGATGAGAAAGCACACACCAAGCAACAGCACACTCCAAGGCCGTTCGTTAACTCTGAAACAGCTTCTCCTGCCTGCAACCAAACACCTGTGAGCTCTCAGGACTCCCTTCCCACCACAAAAACCATGCTGAACCAGCAAAAGAGATGGTGCTACAATGTAGGAGTCCTGATCAACCTGTCCCTTTGTATTCATCTCAATTTCTCCCATTTGCAGAAATGTACTAAGATTAAAAAAATAGAGAAATTAGTAAGCAAAATTATGATTTGGATGTTTCTTTGCGGCACAACACCCACAACTCCTCACTACTGAGAGTTTCCAAATCAGAAATAACTTCTGAGACTGCAAAGATCAATGTTGCTCATACCTTTACCAAAATTTGTATAGCTTTGGATCATGCACATATCAACTACCTCAACTTCTATTTTCTACATATGAATTCATACAATTCTCAGATTAAAATGCTTACACTAGATTTTAAAAAAGTTTTTAAAAATTCACACCAATCCAAAGTTGTGAAAAGAAAAAAAAATTTAGTTTTTCTCCTAAAGAGAGAGTATGCCCTTTAAGTTCAGGCTATCAGTTATGATTTAGGAAAGCAGTTCAATTCCTAGTTATTATTCAGATTTCCTACAGCAGCATATACCAAATCTCCAACCTTACCTTGAGTAGTATGATTACTCAATTGATTTTCATCATCTGAAGTAGAACTGAGGGTTAATCCCAAGTCTTCTATCCTCTTCTTCTGTTTATTTTGGAAGCTGCTAAATTCGGGTTCTGTCCTTCTCTTCATTTTTGCTGGAAGAAGATGATCACACTTGGCAAACATTGAACACATTAACTGTCTGTAAGGTGCAGCAGCAGGTCACTGACTCAAACCCTCTCTTATAAAACTCATTTCCACAAACACATCCCAGGCAGCTTAGGACCAAATCCTTTATTCATCCCCACAACTCTGATTACAGTCATCCCACACCCTCACTGCACTATGGCCAAGAAATATTTTCTCTTCTACCAGTTCTCTTGCAAAAAACTCACCTTTATCTGCTCTTGCCTCAATTTAGGTGGTCTTTTAACTTGTTTACATCTAACAAACTGCCCATTCCGTATTTCTTCTAAGACAGTCTCTTATTAGGCTAACATGCTCTTTAAGTTCACCCTCTCCAGCTCCTTCTTTGAGACTCCAACCCTCCAAACCACGTTAAGGGTCCCTGAGCGCATCTGCCTTCCCGACAGACTCCAAACGACCAGAACTAAGTGCAAACCAGGGCCAGGCCGACCCTCGGGAGCCTCTCTGCAGCCCCTTCCCACCGCTGTCCCCGCGCCCGCTCCCAAACAGCCTCTCCCCGGGGCAATTACCCTGGGAAAGGCCTCTGAGACCAATGGGTCCAACCCGTGACCTAACACCACCTTGTCAACCAGACCACGGCACTAAGCGCCCCTTCCTTGAACGCCTCCAGGGACGGTGACTCCACCACCTCCCTGGGCAGCACATTCCAGAGTCTAATCATACTTTCTGGGTAGAAATTCCTCCGGATGTCCAACCTAACCCTCCCCTGGTGC